ACAAAAATTGGATATTTTTAAAAATCGATGTTTCTCATTTCGAAGATTGAAGAAAAGAAATCATATACATATCTTGACAAGACGCATCTTTCTTTTCAATTCTCCTATTCGTTACAGCAAAATGATTTGCATATCGTGGGATAAGGGAAGTATTTCCGATATCGAGGAGAACGTGCGTAAATATATTTTGTATAACGTTTTGCGGTTTGTAATTGAATTGGTATAAATTACACGCGACGAAATAATATAATTGGGCATTTTTTAAGTGAAAAAAAAAAAAAAATTCAGTACATAATATTTTAAATCTTATTAAAGAATCTTATTGAATTAATCTTTTGTAAGATAGAAAAGAATGGAAAAAAAAACTATAATTTTAAATCCTGACTTAAAACTCAGAAAAACACGACTTTATAAAACGACTTTCTACCGGTTCCTTCTAATCTACCCATCTTTCTGCGGAGTCTCTGAAAACAAAATGAATACGAATAATTACGTCGGATGCGCCACCCTGTCGGCGGGCGTGTGCCCTGAGTCTTACAAGGGGAAAGAAAATACAATAATTTATACACATATATATATCGTTAGGTAATATATATATATAAAGCTTAAACCTAATCTATGTTGAGCATTCGGTGAACGACGAGGGTGACGCAGCCTGTGGTATGTAAAGCGCATCGTCTCTTTTTACGCGTCTTTGAAAGCACACATCTGACTATAAAGAGAGAGAAAACAGAGGAAAAAGAAAAGGAAAAATGAAAAATAAACAAGATCGCTGTTGTATCGTTTACGTATACGGATACACGATCGCGCGTTCATCGCGGAATTTGTCGCGAGCTGACACATCCTTCGAATCTCCGAGTGTCCTATCCATGGACGTATAAGGAAACCTATTCAAATTTCTGGCGACGAGAAAACAAGACCAGGAAAATCTACCGAGTTTAATTATTTGTAAATATCTCGTATTTCGTTTTCGCCGAATTTTGCGCGAGACGAGATCTTTTCTCTTTTTTCTCAAAATTGACCGAACCATTTTCATTGCACACATCCGAGCAGTACGAAACGCAATCAAAGTAACGAATAAAGGAAGTAAACGTCTGGCGTCGAAGCGTGACAGACGAGAGTCGTTTATTGCAAAATAGTAAATCGATCGATCGACATTGCAACGATTCTCCTACGTCTTTTGCGATACGATTGGAAAAGAAGGCGAAAAAGAGAAAGAGAGAGAGAAAGAGCGGCCTTCGCGACAAATAATCGCGATACGCAACTCGAGAAAGCCGACTGACGCGTAATTCCGTCGCGGGATCGTATGGAGTTAAGCGGATATTGCTGATCGTTAGCGGTCGTTATCACAGTATATCGCTGATTCTACTTAATACATACGCTTTGCTCTCTCTTTCTCTCTCCCTCTTTCTTTTCCTTTCGTCGATCGAAATGGCACCGCGCAATCTTCCGACTTCGTCGTCTAACCACCCGAACCAGTTTCGCTCGCAGACGAGGGCTCGAGATGGTGATCTTTCGAGTCCTGAAGCCGATAATATTTACAGGATCGAAGGAAAAAAATATCAGTATATCTCTCACACACACACACACACACACATCTTCCCTTCTTACCTCTTTTCTTCTAAAAATTAACATATGTATCTAAGATTAACGTGTTTGCAGTTTCCCCTCCTTAAGTAATCTTAAAGTTGCACATTAGTTTCCTTAAATAAATTCATTGTCTGCTCGCGCAGCGGCTCGCGACAAATTCCGTGATCTCGCGCGTATACGGAACTTAAAATAAACAAGTAACGTCCCTGTCATTCTCGGCTAGGAAATCTCTGGACCTCCCTCCTTGCAAAAAGTACATCTTGCAATATGTATATAAAATATTTATATATATATATATAATATATATAAAAAAAGAGATTAATAAAAACCATTAATCCGATATCGCTACCACTTCGTTCGCGACACTCGAATATACGTATTATTTATATCACACGGCGGATTTTGTGACTGCGAGATTAGAATATAATAAGCATAAGCACTAATAGTCAATTATCGATAATAATGTATAAAAAAAAGAAGACTCCTACAATATCGGATATAAAAACGGAGTGACAAAAGTTCGTACAGTCGACGGGATATAGCGTAATAAAAAAACAGAGGTGATCAAAACTCTATGATGATACTAACTAATAAAAAATGCACCACATACGCACAATATAATAGCAATAATATGATTATACAATTTTATCGAGTATATCATAGTAATAATAATAATAAGGAAAACAAATATCTGTTTTTATCTACACATTGTCTACAACAGTTATTATCTTCTTTTTCGCATTCTTCGGTTTGCGCAATTTTCAATCGCGATCAAACTCAATTCGCTTCGATATATAACGTCTTGACTCATTAGAGAGAAAGAAGATTACGTCGGAAAACAAATATGTGTGTGTGTATGAATCTGTGTGTCTATGTGTGCATGTGTTTCTTGCCCTTGCTCTCTTTCTTTCTTTCTCTAAGCTTGACATGTGTATATTTTTGTGTGTTCGGTTATTTTCGTTATTTCGGATTTCTTTAAAGTACAATCGGCCATGCGCATGGATAAGTTCGAACCGAGTCCGAAAAGTTGTCACGTGTTTCCTTTTCCCCTCTTATATATGTATATTACGGTTTCTCCGTTCGTTCGAGGAAAAACTCTCGCGCGCGCTACTCTTTCTAGCATTACGCGCAATGTTTCCCCGCGGGCGAGTTTCACTGATCCAATTGTACAAAATTTTCATCTTTGTTGCAAGACTCTCGATTTTATTTTGATTTGACTGGATGAAAAGCGCTGCTCATTAATTTCTTTTCTAAAAATTGCAGAGAATTGATAAAATTTTCGACCTTTTGTCGAAAGCTGTTTAATCTTTTCTATGTTATAAATATAATGGTTTTAATATGATCGTGATTATATATTGCGAATTTAATAAGACGCTGTGCGTCGTTAATTGAATTATAAGTTGAGTATTTTAATTCTCTTTTCCGTCCCATGAAAGAGCAGAGTAATTTTAATGGCGAAAAAATGTATACGAGCAGTGTTAAAGATTTTTAAAAGAAAAAACTCTTGAGATGCTTCGAGAATTAAAAAAAAAAAAAAAGAAATAGCATCGTGTGATATACAAAAATGAATCGCGACTGCGGAATGTTTTGTCAATAAATCTCGCAATGACTCTACAACAAGTTGCGTTATTTAAATTTTTATGTGTCATAGATGTTAATGAAGAGATTATAAGCCTTTAATCTTCTTGAAAAAAAATTTCCAGCTAATGAGTATTATAAACATTTCTTTTAAAAGATGGTGTAATTATAAACAATAGTTCCAGTTTTTATCAAAATGTGATCACTTGTTTTGATTATAATAGAAATCACTGATTTATTATTCATGAAAGACGCGCGGGAACATATTCCGAACATTGACATTTATCCGATCGATAAAAATAGCCTGCCTCCAATAACGAGTCAAACATGTAAATGAGGACAGATGTTCGCGGCAAAAATGAATTATTATCCTTCGAGTTGAGAAACTTGTTGTGGCGCGATTAGTAGTTTATTACAGTAAAGAAAAAAAAAAAAAAAAAACAAGAAAAAAAAGAACTATTTCTTCAACTATATTTTAAGTCGTTTTCATGCGAAAACGAGTTAGAGTCTTAAAGTGGAAGTCCTAGAAGGATACATGCTGAAGTGGAAAATCTCTAGTCTCTCGATGTCCGCGTGTAAACGCGGTGTTACATAAACACGGCAGTTGCGGTTTTCAACATTACTGGGATATTGAGCATCTGTCATAATACTTGAGGGATACGGTAAACGCTAAGTTCCATAATACAATAATAAACGTGACAATTAAAGGAGCAATAGTGAAGTAAATCTATCATTTGTAAGATCCTCTTTGGATACGACTGTACATTTAAAGTGAACCACACAATAGTATACTTATTCCAATTCTCTATCCTGAAACTTCCGTTAAAAAAAAAATTTATCTTAAAGTATTAGATTATCGTTCACCGGGCTCGATCGTTTAGCGTCCAAAACGCTATTGCAGAATAATTTCTATTTGCGGAGCACAACGATATTAACTCTTTAGATTCTCGTGCAGACATATATGTACGAAGGCATACGGAAATCGATGTGTTTCGACTTGACTTAGAAGAGCGTTAATGTCTAACGAGTCTTGTTTGCGCCTTTTTATTTCATTTAACCGCAAAAATGATAAAGATATCCTAGAAAGGGCACGTGGGAAAGTGTAATGATGTAATTTTAACGTCGATAATAATACTCGTAAATATTACGAACGGCCATCAGAAAAGATCCCGCCATTCCTGGCCTTCGATATTTTCCCATTGGTCGTCTTTCTTTTTTTTTTCCTTTTATCATAGCTTCGCATTTTACGTAATGCACGAGAGAAAGAAAGTAAAAAATAATATAAGAATAACAAAAAAAAAAAAAAAGAAAAAAAAACAATGGATAACCACCACGATTATATCGTCGTTATCATCGTGGTTTCATTTCGCCACGCGATGTGTATAAGTAGATCTTCTTTCGTTATAATAATTTAATGAGAGTCGTTTATTAACGTGACGCCTCACGACGCGCGATTTTTCCCCCTTTTTCCCTTCTCAATATTGTATATTGGAGAGTGTATCGATAAAATTGCGGTTCCTCAATATAATATAATATTACCTTCCTAAAATACGGTCAAATCACTGCCGCGAGCAGCAATTCCGAGGCACTACGAACAGGCCACAGAGAATATGGCCGCACAATAATCATCTTCAGATCTCTGTGTCTCTAAAATGACAAAAGACTAACTGTAGAACACCTAATACGTAATCGTAATTATGCTAATGCATCTTGTCATCTCTAGGTTTAGACTCATTAATGTAATGTACAATAATTAGAGAGATCACACGTCTTAATATAGAAATTTTAAAAGATTATTCCCTAGTACGTTGAAACCTTCCTCTCTTCTCCCTCCCCTCCCCTCCCCCTCCCTCCTACTCTTCTTTTTTGCTCTTCACTTAAGTATTGCCACGAAGTGTTTTCTTTTTCTTCCCTCCTCCTCCTCCTCCTTCTCTTTCTTAAGAATGATGATGATAATTCTCCGAGATGTGAGCGGACCCGTGTACGGTCCTTCAAAGTCTTTTCTTTACCTTGAGCTATGCGCTATCGTCTACGCTACTTAAACGCTAAACTCTACGGTGTCTCAGCCTTCTTCCACGTTCCCTCCTCTTTCTTTTTCTTTTTTTTTTTTTGTCTCGTGTACTCGCTTACCTAGTTTTTTTTGTTTATATCAGCACCAATCTGATTTTTTAAAACCGATTCAAAATATCGTCATATATATAGTTAGAATATAATGTAACCTGTCGTATAAATATACATTCAAATATTACTATAGTATACAAGAGTCGCGCGCACCTCCCACCACCCCTCCAACCCCTTCGCGCTGCGCATCGCGGTATATCGTCTCGTCGATTCTTGACCCGATCTACCCGAAAGCTATGGCTCAGCACAGTGGGAGGATACGTCGTCCTCGTAAATTCTAGCTATAATCTTTCGCGTCTTTCTCCTTTCAGCTTGTCATATCATCCCCTCCCCATCCCTCTTCCCACCCCAATCCCCCTATATCTTCTTTCTCCCACCCTCTCATTCAGTGCTCTTTTTTTCCGTTTCATTCGCACTCAATCGCATTCGCACACACTCGCATACTTCACCTTTCTCCGTCGTATGTTTTTCTCTTCGTTCTTCTTCCTCCTTCTTCTCTTCCTCCTCTTCTTCTTCCTTCTCTTCTTCTTTGTTTGGAGTGAACGGCTTTACATATTTACAGGCATTCTTCACGTGGTCGTGTAAGCGCTTCCCTTGAGAAGCACAACATACCTCTCTTTCTCGCTATCTATCTATCTCTCTTTTTCTCTCTCACTCTCTCCCTCTCTCTCGTGAAACATTTTAAAACATAGGCAAGTTAAATATTGTATCACAATCATTTTAGTCTGGTCGAAATCGAACATCTTCAACCCGTTTGGCGATACGTGGCGTTTTAAATGGTGAACGGCGGCGCCCCGGGCGACGCATGCACCATCGTCCCGCGAGATGCGAAGACAGACGGATTCGCGGGAACACTCTTGTCAATCTCTTCGAGATCGCCTACGCGCCTCGCGGGAGGGATAAGAGCCCCGAACTCTCTCGTGCTATTCCCTTGTCCACGAAAGAAACGCGAGAAGGTACGTCGTGATCGATTAATCATAAAAAATACGTACGGAGAAATAGACGAGATCCTTCGTTGATTGCTTTACCTTGGTCTGGCTAATGAATTAACTCGACGGTGAGCGGCAGACAATTTTCCGAGCTATTCCCGTGTTCCCTCGTGCGAGATCGATAACTTGATGATGCGGATCGTAGCGGAAATCGGTATTTGCATATGCCGATGAATTTGCTAGTGTCATTGGCGTGCATGTATGCGCAGTGACAATAACGGACCATAAAATCTTTTAAAGATCAAATCTTAATCCGACATAAAGAGTGACGGATAACTGCGAACAAGTAACAAATCATTGCATCGCGATCGTATACACCGTAAACGAGGAAACGTATGTCACAAAAATTATTAGCTTGATTATTAGAGTTTGAGCGTCTAATACCTGAGCAAGTATAACTGCGCACCATCGTTTGCGCCACTCGGTAGCAAAAATGCAATAATAATTAATGATCCTGACTGGGACGTCGTTTTTCCGCGATGTTATCCGGCGCGCGAGGATACGCTTGCTTCTAATACACGAACGTCACAGAATACGTAAGAGCGAACTCGACGTCCTCTCCTTGCTTCCCAAACAACGCAAAAATCTTAACCGTTCTTCGGCGTTGTTTCATCTCTCCGTCCACATTATAGCAAGAGCGCTACAACTTAGAAAGAGATAGAAAAAACAATCATATCATTTGGATAATTTTGTCCGACGGTCAATCGAAAATGAAAGAAGCGATGTCTCTTGGACGTTCGTATTGTACGGGCTTGCGCGACGAAAAACCGACCGCCTTTTTCACCGTCGAGTCCGGGACTAGCTGGCAACACGTTCCGAGGCTCTGCTAAGCAGCGATGGAACAAGAAGAGCGAGCGAGTTGTGAAACGGCGAAAAAAAAAAGACAACTCTAATAAATGCACAGTGATAAATGTCACGGGTAGTGTTGCTGGATCGGCTGCTGGCCGCATCGGTTAGACGCGGCGGCGGCAGCGGCGGCGGCGGCGGCGACGATTGCGTTCGATGTCGCGTCGGCCTCCAACGCGGCTGGGCCGAAACAGCGCTGAAACCTCAGCGCGGGGATTCCTGCTTGCTAGTAGGCGGCAGGATGGACGGTTAGTCACTGCGGCGGAAGACCGGTCGGCGGCTTGAATTCGCCGGTCACGGACACGCCGTTTGCCTGGGCGCCGGGAAATTGCGCGGTTGACACCGGCGGCTGGTGATTGAACGCGGGCGCGTAGCACTGCGGGAAGTAGAGCTCCGGTTTGACGACCGTGGGCGTGAGGGTACCGCGGGGTACGGGAACCGGGCCCAGGCCCGCGGGCGTGCCGGGCGGCTTCGTGTCACCGTTCGAGTTCCGACGCACCTTGGCCGCGTGCGGATTCATGTGGTTGTCAATGTGCTTCTTCACCTCGGGCTCGGTGGCGAAGCGCCGCCTGCAATTGGGCATCGGGCAGCAGAACGGCCGGTCGCCCTGATGGGTGCGCGTGTGCTGATCCAGAATTGCCTTCTGACGGAAGTCTTTACCACACTGCTGACATTTGTACGGCTTCTCGCCCGTGTGGATGCGCAGATGCTGATTCAGGATCGTGCGCTGACGGAAGTTGCGCCCGCAGTACACACAGCCGTACGGCTTCTCGTTCGTGTGGATGCGCAAGTGTTGCGTGAGATGGGACTGCTGACGGAACCTCTTGCCGCACTCCGGACACGGATACGGTCGCGACTCGATGTGTATACATCCGTGTTGCAGCAGCGTAGACTTCTGCTTGAACTCCTTCTGGCAGATCGGACAGCGCACGTACAACGGCATGCCGGCCGAGCGGCCGTGCTGTATCACATCAGGTAGACAGCTCTTCGTGCCGCCCTGCTGCTTGATGTACTGCAGGGCGCCGAAGCTGCCCGGACCGCCCGCGCCAAAGACTGTGTGATTGCCGCCCTTCGGATCCTTGAAGTAAGCGGGGTACTGGATGGAGTTTGCGTCTGGCGCCGGACTGAACGCGCCCGACTGCGTGTCCGTGTCGCCGAACGTTGACGCTACTTCCTCTTTACCTTCCTCGGGCGGAAAGGGAACGTCCTGCGGCCAGAGCGTCGGCGTCATCCCGTTCTTGAAGATGAGGTGCGGGCTCACGTCTGTAATGAAAGTACGGTCCACGTTCATCGGCGGTATTCCACGGCGGACGGAATGAAAAGGAAGAACGTTAGTCCGGTTTAATGAGACGGAGAGAGATTAAAACTACATGTCAATTGTAACACGAATCAAGCGTGGCGTTAAGAAATCGCTCAAATTCGAGCGAAAACACCCAGGCAACACAAACGTCCGAGAAAAACGTCTAAAGAAAGATCCTGATTTATTCCGCGGCATTTACACGTCTTTTGGACTTTTGTGCTGTTTGGGAAGCTTATAAATTCAATTTATCGCGCGATCCCCAGTGAAAGTTATTAGCAGTTAGCAGCGATAGGTGCACGAGAAGAAACGCAGTAGCCGCTGGCAAGCCGATGTCCACCTTAACGCGAAAAACCAAAGTTATTAAAAGGCAGGCGGATTAGACTAGATGACGAGTTGGATCGTTTAGGATCGGAAAGGAAAAGGAGGGGTGGCGGGGACTGCTCTATCTCACAGCTCACCAGCGTTTTCGCGTCCAGCTCAACCGTTCTTACCCGCCGGTTGGCCTTAGCGGCAACGAGGCCGATGATACCGGCAAATTGTGTCTGATAAATCGTCGCTATATTAGTTTCCGAGAACTTTCAAAGAAAAACACGAGTTTTAGTAGGCTGGTGAGGGATATAGGTGATATAGACCAGTGGTGAATTTATCCCGTTTTTATTTAAAGACACACACATCGTTCTGTCAATTTACAATTATTTGATTTTCCGAGCTCTAAATCCGCCACTGGTAAATCAAACACTGGACAGGTAAGAAAATCGAGATGAATCGTTAGTATGCGGGTTATTGTACCGCCGGCGGTAATAAACGTGGTTATTATAATGACGATGATGATGATGATGCCGATGGTGACGGTGGCGACGGCGGTTGCGATAGTAATGAGTTAGAACCGGTGGGTGGGTCAGTGTGTGGTTGTGATGGACGCCCTCTGGGGAGTCTGGGAGGCAGAGAGAAATGCTCGCCTTGGTGTGTGCGGACGTGCTGATTCAGGATCGCCTTCTGACGGAAGTGTTTTCCGCACTCCGGACATTGGTATGGCTTCTCACCCGAGTGGATGCGCAGATGCTGGTTGAGGATGGCACGCTGCCGGAACGTGCGCTCGCAGTAAACGCAAGCGTACGGCTTCTCGTTAGCGTGTATGCGTAGGTGCTGCGTGAGGTGGGATTGTTGTCGAAACCGCTTGCCGCATTCCGGACACCCGTACGGCCGGCTATCCGTGTGGATCCGCTCGTGCTGCAGCAGAGTCGACTTCTGTTTAAAGTCTTTGCCGCAGGTCAAACACTTGAACAGGCGCAGATCGCTGTTGCCGGACTTGGACGATTTGCCGCTCTGCTGCACGATGTCGGGCAGCCCGGTTGCCATGTTGGGCGCGTTCGGACTGGCGTACTGATGCGCGTCCAAGCCGGGCCCACCATCGCCCTGACCGAGGGATGTCAGCATTACACCGGGCTGTTTGAGATAATGCAGCGCAGAAAAGCCGCCAGGAGTGAGCATGTGAGGTGGCACGGACGGCGAAGGATGCGGCCGGGCTTCTTTGAAGTAGTGTTGCGGATACTGCTGCAGCTCCCCAGCGCCAGGAAAACAATCGCTGCGGTCCACCTCTGCGTGAGGAGTTAATTGTTGCTGCGGCGAGTGATCTTGTTGCGTTTGTTGTTGCTGCTGCTGTTGTGGAGGCTGCTGCTGTTGAACTTGCTGCTGCTGCTGCTGCTGCTGCTGCTCGCTCAAATTCGAGCGAAAACACCCAGGCAACACAAACGTCCGAGAAAAACGTCTAAAGAAAGATCCTGATTTATTCCGCGGCATTTACACGTCTTTTGGACTTTTGTGCTGTTTGGGAAGCTTATAAATTCAATTTATCGCGCGATCCCCAGTGAAAGTTATTAGCAGTTAGCAGCGATAGGTGCACGAGAAGAAACGCAGTAGCCGCTGGCAAGCCGATGTCCACCTTAACGCGAAAAACCAAAGTTATTAAAAGGCAGGCGGATTAGACTAGATGACGAGTTGGATCGTTTAGGATCGGAAAGGAAAAGGAGGGGTGGCGGGGACTGCTCTATCTCACAGCTCACCAGCGTTTTCGCGTCCAGCTCAACCGTTCTTACCCGCCGGTTGGCCTTAGCGGCAACGAGGCCGATGATACCGGCAAATTGTGTCTGATAAATCGTCGCTATATTAGTTTCCGAGAACTTTCAAAGAAAAACACGAGTTTTAGTAGGCTGGTGAGGGATATAGGTGATATAGACCAGTGGTGAATTTATCCCGTTTTTATTTAAAGACACACACATCGTTCTGTCAATTTACAATTATTTGATTTTCCGAGCTCTAAATCCGCCACTGGTAAATCAAACACTGGACAGGTAAGAAAATCGAGATGAATCGTTAGTATGCGGGTTATTGTACCGCCGGCGGTAATAAACGTGGTTATTATAATGACGATGATGATGATGATGCCGATGGTGACGGTGGCGACGGCGGTTGCGATAGTAATGAGTTAGAACCGGTGGGTGGGTCAGTGTGTGGTTGTGATGGACGCCCTCTGGGGAGTCTGGGAGGCAGAGAGAAATGCTCGCCTTGGTGTGTGCGGACGTGCTGATTCAGGATCGCCTTCTGACGGAAGTGTTTTCCGCACTCCGGACATTGGTATGGCTTCTCACCCGAGTGGATGCGCAGATGCTGGTTGAGGATGGCACGCTGCCGGAACGTGCGCTCGCAGTAAACGCAAGCGTACGGCTTCTCGTTAGCGTGTATGCGTAGGTGCTGCGTGAGGTGGGATTGTTGTCGAAACCGCTTGCCGCATTCCGGACACCCGTACGGCCGGCTATCCGTGTGGATCCGCTCGTGCTGCAGCAGAGTCGACTTCTGTTTAAAGTCTTTGCCGCAGGTCAAACACTTGAACAGGCGCAGATCGCTGTTGCCGGACTTGGACGATTTGCCGCTCTGCTGCACGATGTCGGGCAGCCCGGTTGCCATGTTGGGCGCGTTCGGACTGGCGTACTGATGCGCGTCCAAGCCGGGCCCACCATCGCCCTGACCGAGGGATGTCAGCATTACACCGGGCTGTTTGAGATAATGCAGCGCAGAAAAGCCGCCAGGAGTGAGCATGTGAGGTGGCACGGACGGCGAAGGATGCGGCCGGGCTTCTTTGAAGTAGTGTTGCGGATACTGCTGCAGCTCCCCAGCGCCAGGAAAACAATCGCTGCGGTCCACCTCTGTTAATTGTGTTAATTGTTGCTGCGGCGAGTGATCTTGTTGCGTTTGTTGTTGCTGCTGCTGTTGTGGAGGCTGCTGCTGTTGAACTTGCTGCTGCTGCTGCTGCTGCTGCTGCTGCTGTTGTTGCTGTTGCTGCTGCTGGACCTGCTGCTGCGTTTGCTGCTGCTGTTGTTGTTGTTGGGACGTTGCCTGACTCGATTGTATATCATCGTCCGGTGGAGTCAAGGACTGAGGCTCGGGAGGCGCCGAAGGATACGGTGAGGGCACAGGCGATGCTAAGGAGGGCGGGGGACCGTTTTCACTACCCTCGACAGGAGGACCACAGGCCTGCTGTGGGCTTCCTGACGAAGAGGAACCCTGTTGTTGCTGCTGTTGTTGTTGCTGTTGCTGAGGGTACAGTCCGCCGTCCTGGAGAGATCCCGGCCCCGGGCCCCACTGACCCTGGGGTCTCTCCATATTATCTTTGTACAATACGTAGGGCGCGCCAGTATCTGAAAGTAGATAAAGCAAAAGAAGGTTTGCGGTTAGATACACGTTGACATAAAAGCGTTATTGTGTTAAAAAAACATAAAAACACGAGATAGTCTGCATTTTTTTATCATTATGTCTACATTTCAAATACCGTGTACACTTGATTTATGCTAATGTAATTTAAATAGAGTAATTCAATCTGGATAGTGTACTCGTGAAATAAGATGAAATTCTGCAGGTGTATTTTTTGACCGCTCTTGATCAAGGATGAAATTACTCGGAATTGGGTCAAGAAGCGCAGATCTTTAGAATCTTCGATCTCAGAATGCGCACTCTAGAATATCGATTCGTGCCATGTTCCCAGTCACGCATGGTTAGACATGTCCGGTTCACGCTTCACAAGTTCAATCGCTGTTATGCAGGTCGAATCTACAAACTGCGTATATTATGCTGATACTTTGAATAATAATTTAAAGATATCAGAATCAGGCACGCGGCACAGAATCGCGTGCCTCATTCGTTGGATTCCTGAATCCTTGAAAATTTTTGTCCTTGGACGGTCAAATAAGAAACAGGATCATATCGCATGTTCGTTTCAATCCATTCTTCCTCTTTCGCACCCATTAATTTGTTTAAATACGTGGATATAACAAAGGTGCAGCTATAATTAATCAAAAATAAGAGATGAACGCTGAAATAAAAGCAATTATATCGCGCACAAAGTTTTTAATTAAACTTTGCCATTATTTAAGACGTGTGTGTCTTGCCCAATCAGTATTATCGCGCGCAATTACATCCCGAGGAATAAGATAGCTTAAGGCGTTTTACGATTACGGAATTTACGTTACGCAATAATCGCGAGGCACTCCTCCTCTTATCAAACTAATTATATCGGACTTCATTTTCTCTTATTTGTCGAATGGATTCGTCATTCGATTTGCATTTCGCGCGGCCCGTTTAAAGATTTTTACTTCTCTTGCATTAAATGACTCATCCGATATAATGTTGTTTCTCGTGAAAAATGGGACAAACATTAATTTATTAGAAATGAAAAAAATTAATACGAAAGCGTAAAACTTAAATACATGTACAAAAAAAAACGAAATTAAATCTAATTAAGTCGAAATGATATATGACGAATGATTAATGCTATATATTGACGGATAACAATAAAAAATCTATGGAATCTCAAAAATCCAGGAATATACTGGTTGGCGAAATTCACCGAGATAAAAATTTGTGCCGAAGAAAAAACAAGAGAAGTCATCGCGATCTGATATATGCCGTTCGTTTGCACGTGAATCAGTCGTATTTATAGCTGATCATTTTTATTTTACCGCATTTATATATCTCCATTACATAACCGTTGTTTGTTGAGATAATGCCGCGTGCAATCGCTCGCTCGCGCGTCAAGATTAGTTTATTGCGATTGCAAGTTTATTCCGTCGCGTAATCACATTTAACTATTCCGGGAATCTCCAGAGCAATAATGTTATAATGTCCCGTTATCATGGTTAAGAGAAGAGTGACCGGTCGAAAAGTGACGCTAATGCGATATTCGCGCTCGAAGAGAGTGTCATTAATATAATTCTGCATATAATTTCCGTGATTTTCTCGCGATTCGGCGCTTTTAAAAGCCATGTCGTTTTGCAACATTGTTTTCCGTTTCTCCGACCGAACGTGGGGAAAATTAAAACGCTCCTTGATACGAAATCTCGATAGCATGAAAATATTTAAGCGATTGTACGATTTGGACAGCAGTCGTGTACATATATCGACGTAAATATTTATCAATATCTGCGGTCCGGCTTTCGTTGGTTCCCTTCTTCCGCCCTATCGACATATATCGTATACAATCCATCCCAATATTAAAAAAGTATTACGTTATTACATTCATGATAACGTTTGTTAATCTATTATCGAGGACCGGCTTATTTCGAGAAATTTGTCAAGAGTCGTGCCGCCAAGAAAACGCTACGTCTCATTAAACTCAATCTCCGTCCAGCAACACTTAATTACAACCAGAATTCCCGAGTAATCGTCCAAATTTCCTTCGCACGTCGGAAGTCGTTAGCTATATAGCGCAAAAACTAAATGTGTGTCGCGCAAAAAGAAGCGCAAGCTATGATTGCACTTTATATGGCAGCTGACAGCCAGGATAAAAATATCAAAAATTTAATCGATAGAATAAAACGAAAGAAGTTTCATTCGTTTGTTCCAACATAAGAATCTTGGAGGATATCATAATTAATATAAATGCAATTTTTTTTAACAATTAAATTTTGATGGTCATCGAAATGATGATGACAATAGTAGTAATAATCGGTAATTACCGTCGTAATAATGATAATCCATTCAGCCGATCATTCAATTTCAAGTGGGAGATTAATACTTATAAAAAGTACACAAAAGAAACAAAGAGAGAAATTAGTTTCTTCTTCATTACGAGCATCTTTTCCGGTGTCGAATCGTTCAAGAAGTAGACGAGTGTTCTTAATGATAAATTGTATTAAAGAAATCTCCGGATTATTCTTTCCCTCGCATTCGCGTGAATAAACATTGGTAAGCGTTGATACGAACTCCACAAGTTTTACCGAGCAGTCCGACCGAGCTTTAATGAGAGACGGATCCACTTATAACTTTACCAACTAAGCAGTCGCAGTCGTAAGATTTCGTCGTTGATTTTGACGCGCGTTTCACAAATCACGTAGACAGGTGGCTAGCGGTCATTTGACACAATAGTTTCATTTTTGAGAGAATCATATTTACAAATAAATCATCAACAGTATCACAAAATGATATCAGAAAAATTATAATGTACATTATATTCACTTTCATTTTTTCTTATCTTTGGGAGTTACTTTCGAACGATCAATGAGTTTAAGATTTCAATATTAGTAGCATAAATACTCAAGTGTAAGTAATGGCTTAAACTCATATGTTCGATCATAATATCATAAATATTTAATAACACGTAGGTTTACCCGCGATGTTCTGTTATACAATATAAGTATTGATGTTTTTAATATGTATACACAAGCGGGGAGCAAACTGCAAATTTGGCACATTGCTATTTTGTACTAACTTAGATTATTTCAGGAAATTCGACGTAAACTTGTCGCAAAAATAAATTTCTTTTTA